AGTGCAACAATGAATGAATGAAAACCCAAAATCTCTGTAAATGTTCATTAAAACTAATAAAATTTAATAAAAAAAAGGAAAAAAATAGGCATATGCAATTAATAAATTATTGGTTGTGCAAAATTCTCTAATTCAATAGCCTCATTTCTGTCGTTAAGTCTGTATCTTATTACCATTCCTTCTTTGTTTCTAATATTTTCATCCAATTATCAATCATTATTAATGGATCTTAATTGCATGTTCAACCAATTTCAGACTGCAAAAGTTGGCAGAAGTCCTCAAGTTCTTCATCTCTGGGATTAGTGGTTAGTTGTATTAACAAGTCTTGCTTGTATGCACATGGATAAATCCTATCACTTACAGCATTGTAATTTAGGTTAGATGTTGAAATGCTCTTTTTTGATGATGAATGCAACACCCTTCTTTGTCAATCTGTCATTCTTAGAATAACAGATCATATGACTGTCTGACTCAAAATGGTCAGTGTTCAGTCCAGCTCAGCTCACTAATCCTTGGGCTGTCAATCTTTATGCAATTTCATTTAATTTTTAATAACTTCTAATTTTCCTAGATTCATGCTTTTTATGTTCTATGTTCCAGTTATCAATGGATGTTTATACCTGTTTCTTCTCATTTTTAAATTCCTTCCAATCTGAGTGGCTTTACTCCTGGTTCTATATCTACATCTCTCTGATATTTATAGGGTTTTAAAAGGCATGTTATTACAGAAGCCAATCCTGCTTCTTGGAAACACCACTTAAACCTGTCTACCAGGTGACCCTGCTGGTATTTGAAATCTTAGTGGCATAGATTCCAGTATCACAGCAACCTCCAAGTCACTCCAGTATAGTAAGCTGAAAGGCAGGTGCTATACTCGTAAGAGCACACTATAAACAAGCAAGCATACAAATATACAAACTATAAAATAAACAGCAACATGAAAGTTACCTTCCCTAATACAACAAACTGACTGATAAGAATTGTACCCATAAAATCAAACCATACAAGAAGGAAGCATACAGATACACTATATAACAAACATGCATGCGATAGTAAAAGGTGTGTACAATGTGTGTAAAGAGGTGGGGCGCCCAGCCTGGGGCAGAGTTTCTGCTGATCTCAGACTAGCCTGCCTGGCTAAAGATAGCATCTTTGTCAGTTCAGAGGACGGTGTCTCAGCCACAGCAGGTGGCCCCTCTATCTGAGAGCTAACTATAAGCTAACAATGGCACAATCTACAGGCTCTGGGAAGAATGTTCTGAGAGCTTCCAGCTCCAGAAACAGGATGGCGTGGGAATGGCCTAAGATAGACCTGGATCTTGGCACATTGGGGGTGGGGATAGAAAGAAATGGGAAACAATGCCTATCCTCTGGTGCATAGAGAACAGGGATGGACACAGGAGACAAAGCGGAAACTGAACATTTCACCTATGTGGATGCTGTGGCCGCAGCAGTCTTTCTGGTTTCTTAATTAGGTAAACAGTTTTAGTGATTCATTTTCAGGTACTATTTTTAAGGTTAAATATACTTTCAATGTGGAGAATGCACAGGGTACCTGGTTCAGGAGGTGGGACATGAACGATGGTGCTGCTGTAACTGCACTGGCTTATGCCCGACATTAAGCTTAGGGCTTTCGTGGAGAGCGTCCGTGGAATCCCTTCCTCAGCATCTGTGGACTGTTCGGCTGTTGTCATTTCTGATTTAGCTGTGACTGGGATCTGAGAAGCAGCTAGTGACAGAAGAGAAATGAAGAGTGAAAAGAAAAAGTACCCAGTTAAAACTGACAAACAGAAACTTACTTGCCATGAAACAGAGAATATGAAACTAATATTTGTGATTGTTGTTATGTGCCACTGAGTCAATTTCAACTCCTGGTGATCCCAACTGACAGAGTAGAACTACTCTATTAAGAGTTTTCTAGGTTGCTATCTTTATGGAAGCAAAGCATCAGGCTTTTCTCCTGAGGAGCCGCTTGGTAGGTTGGAACCACTAATCTTTTGGATAGCAGTCAAGCACTGCATCACCGGGGTTCCTTTATTGTGATTGCTGTTGTTGTTGAGTGCCGCCAAGTGGAGTCCAGCTCATGGAGACCCTATGAACAAGAGATCCGAATCCTGTCCTATCATGTGCCATCCTCATCATCTCTGACACATTTGAGTCCATTTCTGTAGTCACTGTGCCAGTTCACCTTGCCGAGGATCTTCTCTTTCACTGACACGCCACCTTTCCAAGCATGATGTCCTTTTCCAAAGAATAGCCTTTCCTGACACAATTAAAGTTAGGAGATTAAAAAGAAATGGAAAGACTGGGTTTGGATTCAAAGGTATTCCTGTTACCTTGCAATGTGTGGGCACCATCTGCCCTGTGGATTTGTTTATCATCTTCTGATGATGAAGAATTAGTATTTGCACAGGATATGCACTTTCTTTTCAAAGCTGGAATGTTGTAGCTCTTCAGATATCTGCAACAATACAACCAACCATACATTTTCACCTGTCCCCAGAGTGTACCATTTCTCATCTTTTCATCACTGCTACTTACAAGCCTTTATATATTAGTCTTTGATGAAGTTTTCCTCACTCACTCACCCTAGCCTTCATCATTGGATTGTGACACTGTTTTACGTACATTTTTGAAATGAAATGAAAATCTCATATCCTTTAATGTTGACAGGTTTAAGTCTTAACTATTATACTGTATTGTAAGTGCCCTAGAAAAACAGGATGTGCCTTTCAATATTTACTCAATGTTGTACAACATTTAGTAAGAGTTTTGTAATGATCTGATTCAGAATAAAAACTCAAGATAAAATATAGTAAAAAAAAAAAAAACCTATATAAAGGAGCCAAGGCTTTTGAGAAAAGTACTATTTTATCCAAACTCCTACCTGATAACACTATCTATAGAGTTGATTTGCTGATAGGATGGGCTCTGCTTATCTTTTCTCAAATCTTCACATGACTCATGGTGTGTGCTATGGTTTTTTAATGTCTGGAAGGAAGAAAAGGCCTTCTGCTCATCTGAAAAAGAACAAAAATATGTAAAATTGAAACTTTTAACACAATTACTCAGCAAAGCTAAATCACAGTCCTTTATGCATTTAGCTGAATATTACACAATTATTGAAATAGAATATAAATCCAAATGCACTTCCATACAAAACAAAAAGGCACGAAAATCTGGAAATAATAAGATGCAGAACACATTACATATAGAATGAATATGAAAAGTTACATCTGTATTGTTTTCAAGTTTTAGGCAAAGATGTTTACGGCATTGAATTCTATGGGGGAGAGAATAGTCTAAAAGTATTATATTTTAGGGCATTATTTTTATCGTAGGAGTATGCAATGAGGGTTGTAGAGTGGATTATAT